AAATCCATTCCAATTGAAGTAGACTATCATATTTAGCACACCGTTATAATAATATCAGAAAATTTTTCACATGGGCCATGGTAACTTCAATAGACAATTCTGTTGAAAATGTATCGAAAAAAGCTAACGTATCAAAGATTTTTTTTTAAAAAAAAATCATTTTTATGCCACACATATATGACTGACACATACATGACTCCTACCAATGGGTGACATGACTCATGTAAAACTTCTTATCATCAGATATGAATAACATAGCAATTAACTGCTCCATAAGTAATACGGTAGTTCAAATATAGATTTAAATACAAAAGCGTTCGTATTTTAATTATTTTTGCACTGTAGTGCTATTAATCTCATAAATTTTACTATCACAGTGTTAATAAAGAATCAGAAGTATATTAACTGATTAGTCAACCTTTGAAGTCAAATACTCTAGTTCAGGAATATCAAAGAACGAGGTAATAATTCTAATTTAACTACTTATTCGTTTGAAAAAAATGTAGGTAACTTTACAACTCGATAAAAAAGAATAAAAAAAAATTGAATAAGGTATTCAATTTAACAGACTCTACATGTGTGAAAGAGAAAAAGTTGAACATGATTTTTTTTTTATTAACTCTTTTATTTACAACTGTCCAGTGAAGGACATTCAGTAAATTTAATGAATTTACAATGAACATGATTTGAAAATCATATTTGGTTTTATGTCTATTTTATCATCATGTAGCTTAGAACCACGGTCAAATAGTAATAAAGATCAATTAAAGCTTGCATTAGAATTGCTAGTCGCCATACTGAATATAATGAAAATTTGAAGTCTTGAAAAGTAAATGTTCGTGATCATATAGTTCGTAAAAACTTTTTGCTGATCGTCTCATATAATGATCATTATCAACCATGTTCTAAAGTAGAATACACGATATTGTCATTTTGCAAAGCATAATGTAAAATCCAAAATGCAATACACAATCTTATTTTTTCACAACTGTGAGTCAAATATAAGGTCACTTAACCGTATTTATTGCAAAATGGCGGTATGGAAGACACCACTAAAAATATGATGTGGCACAGCAAGAGCAGCTGGCGTTCATATTTTCATACTATATTTTCCACCTGAATTCTACTATTTTGCTAAAGCACCGCAAAGCAAATAATGACTTTTTACCACTAAGGATCATTTATTTTGGTGATTCCATTATTGCAACGAATTAATTAACAACTCTGTACGTGTTACGTGATAACACGTGCGAATGTTATAGGAGACCGACTGAAATCTGATCCCAAACTATTGATTATACAGAAGCGCGTAAATTCCAGTGTAATTATGAATGCATTAGACTACCACCCTCGGCCGAGAGGGTAGCTCTCCCGAATTACATCTACGTGCATAACTGGCGTATTATTCTAATGTACGACTCCATTTTCTTAGAACATTTGGTTCAACGAGGGGTTTCCAGAATTTGTGCATTTTATAGGCAGTGAATTTTGTTTTGTGGGGAACCAAACTATGTCAAACTATTCTATAGTATCAGGTTTAGTTATGTAATTCCGTGTAATGACCCGCGTAATGTTCGAGCTTTTAATGGGCGAAACTTGATGAAGTGAAATTTAATGCTGGATTTGTATGGTGGAGTAAAATTTTATTCTTTGTTTGAGGATAGACAAATGAGTAATGGTTATATGAATATATATATATTTGTGTGTAATTTTGATTATGATGTCGGCATGTAATAATTCAAGAGGGGTAAATTTTGGACGTTCTGGCTATAGTTTTAGTAATTATTTAGCAGAATGTCTGTGAGAATTTTTCGTTTGAGAAATATATTGATCTTTAATTACATGTATTTTTTGTTATTTTTTTACTAGATTCACACAGGTATATATATGCACATCCATACCACGGGGGGGGGGGGGGTGTTATCTTGTTAAATACAAAAAGCCCTGGTCAAATAAGGGCCATTCAGTAAAAAATTGAATTTGCAATCCTTTGTAATACAAATAAAGCTTGCACTAAGAATTTTTGACAAATCTATAGCATTTAAGAAAATTATTAAGCATTTTTTTAATTAAAATAAGTGTTATGGAACAAATAAATCTATTTAAGAAGATCATTACTTTAAAACGAAGATCAATAATGTAATTTTAAAGCAGATTATTAAATACATATTATTCAATTTTTACGTCAATGTTGATTCAGGTATTTTAGGAAAACAGCCTAAAGTAACGAAAGACATTCTCTTTTTGAAATAAAATTCAAAAATGATCATACTGCAAAAAAATGTATTAAAATTAAATCAATTTTATTCCGTAAAATTAGCAAATTATATTTCTGAACATAAGCCTAAAGCTTAACATTTAGTCTTGTACATTATATATTTCCAAATAGAATTTATTCAGGAAGAATTTTATTGGCCTTTGAAATATATTTTTCTCCCAGCTTTCTTTTATTAGAATTCTTGTATAAACAATAATTGTAAATTTTATCGCGACAATTCAAAATTCATTAACAGAAACATAGGCAATATTGAATGTATTACAGTAATTATTAAATAGACCACGAGAGATTAGAAATTAATTTCAAACTATGAATTATAAATATGTTCATATAAGTTTCCACATAAATGAGATTATAATGTTTTCATTCCGCAGCATAGACCTATTCAAATATTCATTAAGTAAAATTGGAGTTTTTAATGTGTTTCATACTCAGGCCCAAAAATGTGCGTGCTCATTCTGTCCAAACTAATTACTCTCGGTATGTAATTATTTATAGAGTTCTCCGCATACGCCCCCGAATGAATTATAATCCGTCGGTTAAAACAAGAAGACATGAAACCAAACTTATGCATTTGCATAAGGGTTAAGTTTTACGCTTACAGTTGCTTTACATTACTTCAAAGTAGACGAAGAGTTGACATCGGAATGAAGAATCAAAAGACTGGATATGGAGATCCCTAAAAACAAAAATTTAATGAAATGTTATACAGATTTTATTCATTATTATATTTTATTAGGTTTCACAATATAACAGTATCCTTATCAAAAGCAAGGTCTGTTTCTAACAAAGATCGCGTTTTCTGTACATTAGATGAAATTGGTTAATTATGTGGTTGTCAAATAAGTAAGTGTAGTCTTTAATCTCAGATTTTTTCAATTGAGTTGAGGATTCCTGATGTAGTCGAATTGTATGTAATTGTATGTTAATTAGTAAATAGAGGTGTTTTGCTCGATTGTTTTCAATTATAACTTAAGTATGATTAAGCTTTCTTAAGACATGGGCCTCAAAAAATTCCCTGAAATAATGTGGGCGAATAGTAAATTTTATTATTAATTTACAACAATCTAGAAAAGTATATGTTCGCATCTTATTATTTAGAAAACAGAAAAATGAAAATGACTCGAAATTTATCTTTAGAGATAATACAAAGTATACGATAAAGCTCCCTCACTATTACTTTATTCAACTTGACTTAGGACTTCGAAACTGTGCGTGAATCGAAGAAAACACACTGAATATGTAATGCACCACATAACGGTGTTTTATCACGATATTATGACTGTGTCAGGTACCCTCCTCGTTCCCTTTTTCCAAAAATGATTACTTTTTCCCCTTTAGTGTGGTCGGTGATTTTATAAACACTCTTCATTGAAAATAGTATTTTAAAACCATAACTAAAGCTTAAGACAATGGATATAAGTGAATTCATAATGAACAGTTTAATAACTATAGTTAAGTAATTTATCCTACAAAAGTAGAGATGTAACTGTAGTTAATTATATTTGTATGAATATAAACGTCCTTTTATGTAATTTCAAATTTTATTACAATCTCTCTGCAATTAATTTTTTACAGGATATAAATGTATCGCATTTAATCGCGTAAAAGTACTAAAACCTATATTTCCATTAAATAATATTTATTATTCATGTAAATCCAATGTACGCTGTTTTACCATATCTATTACTTATGTTTTAACAATAATGCAATAAAATTTATTCGCTATAAATATGGGATAAACTCTATCGTTACAAATATTATTCTCGAACTATTTCTGTAATACTCTTAGCAAACAAATTGCATGACGTCTACAAGCTGCAAAGGATTACTTTTATCTATGGATTGCTAGTACCGTATTAAACGTATTATAAGCAAAGCGCATACCATATCTATAGGTGATATCAATTTATAGATATCTGTATCATAATTTAATAGTATATTTGGTAAGAAGATATGTAATTTAAGTAATTGAACGTTATTATAATTGATTAGATATTTCGTATATGTATGAACTTTCATATAATAAAATAAAACTAATGAAAACGAGTATTCAGCGTGCAATATAGTTTTCAGAGGAACTTGACGCCATAAGGCTATTATCATGTTGAAGCACTTGAAAACGTTTCTGGTATTATGTCAAAACTACTTCAATATCTTAAGCTCATATTTGCTTCATAGAAAATTTAGAATCAAAAATAATTATGTGACTTCGAGCATTAGAGATATAGAATGCGGGGTACCACAGGGCAATGTGCTAAGTCCAGTACTTTATCTTCTTTTTACAAGCGGTTGGTTAGCAACTTGTCAGTTACAAAATTATTTATCTAGTCTTGAAAAATGGTTTTTAGAATGGAATATCAAAATCAATATTGAAAAATCTCATCACATAATTGTTTTTCTAAAACACCACAACAGTCAACCTATCATCATGAACAATTCAATAATTCCACTATGCAATTCTGTCAAATATTTAGGCATGCACATCGATTCGAAATTGACATGGAGAACGCACATTGAATGTAAAAAAAAAAACAAATCCAACTGCAAATCAAAGTTTTTTACTGGCTTTTTATTAGCCTCTAAAATATTTTAGTTATATAGAACATTTTGTTATATAGTTATAATTCTTTCAAGGAGAGTTTTCAGATTTAAATATACCATAGATAAATATATTTATATATGAATGTGGGTGTTTAATCAAAATTCATTTCTATTTCAGTTCTGCGTGATGATTTCCGCGTTGTTCCCAAAGACCTGGTTGCGGTATCCGGCGGACAGGCGTTGTTGCCGTGTCTGCCCCCACGTGGTGTTCCGGAACCATCCGTACTATGGACGAAAGATGGCAAACCGCTAGATTTTGCAGGAAAAAGGTAATATATATGTAGACATCAGACTAAATTATATATATAAATTAAATTGTATATATAGATTATATTTTTAATTCCGCAATATGAAAATATCCCTACTCGAAATTCAGTGATAATCAACTACAAAAAATGTGTAATTGATCAGTTATAGTGCAAGATCATAAATGATCGCACAACCAAAGTAGTTATTTCTGAAAACAGGATGAAAACTAACGGTTGGATTTTTTTTTCATTCCCAAAATAAAAGAAATTGTTCCAAATTATTCCAAAAAGTGCCATGCTTCGACAACTCTTGATAATATTGATTTTTAAGTAAAATTTAGGTTTTTCCATGATCTCAAAAAATCTTAACAGAAATTTAGTCAAAAAAAATTATTGACAGAAAGCGGGACGAAAAATGATTAAAAAACGGGTTTTTTGTAGGAGGGTAAAAATTTAGCCATATTTGTTTTTTAATGACGTATTATAAAGGAAATAAAAGTTGGTTCAAATTCAAGAAATTTGAAGTGACCAATCCTTACCACTTGCTTTTAATTAGTGATGTGCCAAGTCGAATCAAGTGATTCGAATCATTCGAATCAAGCCTTTAACGACTTGATTCGAATCAGATTTTACTTGATTCGAATCAACTCGTATCAAGCCGCGAAATATTTACTGTGATAAAACATGTGTGAACACAAATTTTCATAAATATAAAAAAAATGTTTTAATTTAATTCAATATTATAATAATATAAATAATAATAATAATAAATATAAAAAATAATAATAATAAATATAAAAAATAAATCTTGAATTAAATCATGCGAGTCACCCGGCTTTAATACGCTTAAATGTATCACCCGACTCCAATTTATATGACTTTAACCGCATTCATTGTCTAACAATACCATCCGAGTTCCTATGACTCAAACCGACTTATCCCGACTTCAAGTCGTTATGAATTGATTCGAGTTCCTATGACTCAAACCAACTCATCCCGATTTCAAGTCGATATGAATTGATTCGAGTTCCTATGACTCTAACCGACTTGAAGTCGATATGAATTGATTCGAGTTCCTATGACTCAAACCGACTTATCCCGACTTCAAGTCGTTATGAATTTATCCGAGTTCATATGGCTCAAACTGAATCATACCGACTTGAGTTCGAAACATGTGTCCGCGTTTCAGCGTATCGACTTATCGAGATGCTGTGCGTATGGGTCTTGAGTGTTTGTTTATTTTTGACTAAGCGCTGAGAGCAAATTTGTTCATGAAATATCAAAAACTCATTTAGATAATAAATACGCGATTTAAATTTTAATTATTATCAAAATAAACTACACAACGAGTTTTATACACATACAAAATTATCATATTTTAATTATGCAAGTAATGGCAAATTCACACAAATGAAATAATATCAATCTTTACAGTAGAGTGAGTAGAGGATTGAATTTTAAATCATTCGTAAGACGTTAGATTCAGCCCCCTGTTTAATTAGATCTAAACAATCAATAATATACACATGCATTCTTTCAACGTAAGATTAAGAATATTGTTTTATATGCTTTAGTGATAGAGAAGTGTTTGGTTATATTTTACTGTAAATTCACTTGAAATATTAGTTATATTTGTAGCTAGTTTATTATTATTATTATATATATATATATATAAATATATATATATATATAATATAAATGTATTCATCTCTGCACTTTTTGGAACTAATTGCTTACTAAATTAATTATTTCACTTATAAAATTATTAAAATGATATTATTTCTTCTCTTAAATTATATTAGATTGTCAAATATCTCCCTTCCGCCTTTTTGTATTATAAACAAATAGCAAAAAAGCGGAAGGGAGATATTTGACAACCTAATAATTGCTCATATATGAACTTGATTCGAATTGATTCGAATCATGATTCGAATCAGGTTTTTTTCTGATTCGAATCACTCGAATCAGGAAATTTTCGAGTCGGCACATCACTACTTTTAATATTTATTTGATCATCTATCTACATGGGATATAAAATCAATTGGGCATGGTATAGAATAGAGTGAAACTGCATCCATTGATGTAGTTCGTCACAGTGTTTAGTTTAGATAGATTGTCAAGTAAAAGAGAGGAAAGGAAAATAAAGGTTGTACTTATAATTAAATATTTTAATAAGCTTTTAATAAAATATTGCAAAAACTATGGGTATACCTAATAGTTTCCCAAATTTTCAAGGCGATTGGTGGTTTTTGAATACCAAAAACACAGACACACACAGGCGGATAGTCAAAAAACCAAAGCAGAATAATATTAATTCTAAACGTTTAACTGCATTTTATTATATGAATTTTACTTTCTATGTCCTTGATTTTAAATATATTTCCTTTCTGCTATAATACCAAAATTTTGTCACTTGAGTAATTATCAAACAAATAATATGTCAAATTCTGTAAGATTTTCGATAAAGGAATAACTATCTTTCAAATCGTAACAGAATGATTTAATTCAATAGAGCGTATAATTAATTATGATGTATTTTAATTGGTGTCATAGTCATTTTTTGTATATATGATGGCAGTCCATTATTCCATGAAGAAGTTCATTATTGATTGAGCATCCATATTTACTACATACATTTTTGATTTTTTTTAAATTATATACTTAATAATATACTCAATTATTAAAAGAGAGTGCGCGTAAGGTTAACACGTGATTGAATTAAAACTTCTTTGTTATCACAGAATGGCATTTCAATTGCAAGTAAAAGCATCATAAAACAATTTTGAATAATGTTTATCAGTAAGACAAATACAAAGAAGCCTCATGATACGACGACCGTATAGAAATGATATTATGGCGTCTCCTGACACCTAGCGGTGAGAGTAACAACCAGAAACGCCAATACCAACTTCATAGACACGTTGCGTGTGAAGAACGTCGCAAACTGTCAAGTTGGCGACGGCGCATCGTGCAACACTTGCGTGGGCTCGAGGGATGCGAAAAATGCAATCTCGCTTTATACTTGTTTTGTTATTATAAATTAAACTTATATACACGTTATTCAGTTCTTTTAATTATAAATATAAATTATATATAGACCCAACATCTATAATATCATCAAGAGCGAATGATAAATCATCATTAGCACTCGACTCTTATCTGGCGTAACGCACTTCCGTTGCATTTGTACGGATTTACACCCGTAAAGTTTACTTCAAAAATATATACTCAACTTATTAAATTGAGTATATTATTTTTAATATTAATGATAATTATAGACAAAAGACAAATGCAAGACCTAAGACCATTAGCTCGAAATATTAAGTCCCAACGTTTCACTCTGTACGGAACTATGTATATGCATTTATGTATATTTATTTGATATCGATTACAGATCGATTCTTTTTTTTGCTATACTCTAAAATCCTGGTAATAAGTTTCAAAAAGTAAAGTTATTGTATAATTCTTATCCAATTTCTTAAAATGGTAGAAATGTCTCTTTCTAAGCGACAATTATGCAACTTCTATTCGATTACATAATTTTTGTAAATCTAATAGAATTTGTTGTAAATCTAATAGATTGTTTAATCCTATTTGGGTGTTAGCTATTTTTTCTATATATAATTATAACTCGATTATCGATTAAGCAAGTAATTTGAATGTACCATCTATATATTAATATCTATACCATCTATTTTATATCTACACTATCTAATATATATTATCTATATCATCTATATATTAATTCATTATTATTTTATCTCTGATTTCAGATTATCGCTGGTCGACGGTGGTGGTTTGCTGATTTCCGAAACCCGTTCGTCCGACTCTGGGGCGTATCGCTGCGCTGCTCAGAACATGGCTGGTGTGCGGCAAACAGACGCGGCCACACTGAAGGTGGTGACGCCGCCGCGTGTGTTGCGGGCACCGCAGGATCGTGAGGCAGTACGAGGAGCTACGGCGGAATTTCAGTGCCAAGTAATTAATTCAGAGCATAATTTTATTAAGAGAAATAGTACGGTCTTGAATCGTAGAGATTCAGATTTGTAGCTGATTTGAATATTTATATACACTGATATATAACAAATTATTTTATAATATTTGTCATCATGTCGTAAGTAATTTTCTTTGCAAAGTAAACTTTTCGGACCAATTGCTAGCATAAATCAAACAAGATCAAATTTTATAGATTTATTTTTACATTTATCCTGAAATGGACAACACATGGACATTGTCAGATTTTTTAAAGTTGACGTATATTATGTAACATGAACTTTCTAAGCTTGTCCTCGTGATGTAGTTCTCTGCTAAGTGGGTTTAGAATTAGATGATTCTCGAGCCGGCTATTGTAATTGTCAGAATGTGTTCTTATTTCCTCGTTTATATTGCGTTTATATCGGCGTCTTCATGTATTATCCAATTTGGTACTTACTTTTGGGGTATACCCCAATCTGAATTTGCAATTTGATCCCCATAGTTGTCTCCACAGATGGATTTATTAACTTCCCGTAGGGTAAGTTATAGTAATCGCAAAAAAATCGAAAATAAACATTTTTATATACTTTACGTTTAAGAGGTTTCTGAATATTTTGGCATACCTTAGAAAAAATGAATGTATGTGTGTGTGCGTGTGTGTATGTGTATGCGGATATAAATTTTCGTCGAAGATTTCGGGAACACGGATGAAGCGATTTGAATAATTCAAAAAACATTTGATTCGTATTGATAAGGAGACGTGCTGATTATTGGCGAAGGCAGGTCTAGCCGTTCCGAAGATATGAGGCAAAAAGTGCCAAAAAACGGTAACTCAGTTTTTAAGAGAACGGAGCGTCGGATTTGAATAATTCAAAAAAACATTTTACTTGTATTAACAAGATGAAAAACTGATCATGAAAAAATATTCATGAAGGCCAGTCTAGCGGTTTCGGAGATCTAGTAAAAAAGTAGAAAAAAATGCCAGTTGGTGGTCAAAAATGATCATTAGACATATGCACAGCAAATTATCAGATATTTTATAGAGATATTAACAATAAGTATGAATTTTGTTTACATTTCTATGGGTTCCGTACCAATGTTTATCCGTTAGACGGCGACGCGGCGCTTACGCGATTCGATATTTCGTCTCTGTACAGTTAAAGCAGTACGATTGCTTCGAAAAAATTTTCTGAATTTCCAAAATATTTCAAAATAATTTTTTCTTCAAAAATTCTTTTTTTTTTTTAAAAAAAAGTAAATTTTTGTCAAAATTTATAGTTTCTCAAAAATCTAATTTTTTCAGAGTAATTTTTTTTCCAAAAATGTTAATCTTTCAAAAAAAAAATTGGTACAGGAAGTAGCAGCAATTTGTCTTAAGGCACGATGCCATGCCGCCCACTAATTTATTATATATTTCGTATTACCAGGTTACGGGTGATCCTGCTCCAGAAGTGTCCTGGCGCAGAGCCGGAGGCCAACCTTTACCTGAAGGTCGTTACACTGTTTTGCCTGATCAAACGCTTGTGATAAAAGACACGAGGCCGGAGGACCAAGGACAATATGCTTGCGAAGCAACTAATGAAGGAGGACACATTGCGAATAGTGCACGACTAAGTGTATATTGTAAGTATCAAGTGAAATATTAAAAAAATATATATTGCAAGTTATCATCTAAATCTTCAGCGAAAATTCTGTAATCAACTTTAAAGTTTTGAAGATTAGTTTCATTACACACCCATATTAAAATAATTTTAACCTTTCGTATATTTCTTATATATAATATTGTTTTTTATTTCAGCATTATCCAAGTTAATCGAGCTACCAAATGACGTAACAGTCGACCCTGGTGGCGACGTGACATTGCCCTGCAGAGCAGAAGGCCAACCGGAGCCAAGGATTTATTGGGAACGTTTACCTTTATCTACAGTGCAACACCAGGATCACGAAATACTTGCTCAACCAACCGGTAAGACATAGAAGCATATGAGTTATTAGATATAAATATCTATTTATCTCCCTTAAACCATATATTGGATTTTTTTAAAAATAAAATGTATTAGCAGTTGTATTATAACTGTTCATTAAACGTATAATATATTTTTTTGTGTATGAAGAAAAAATAATTGTACGTAAGTTAAAAAATGTACTTTTTTCGACAATCAGTAAATGAAACTTTTATCCTTATAGTACTCTTCAAAATCCATTAAAATAATTTTTCAAATTACTATTCTTAGGAGGAAGTATTAACCATTCCTATGTCCCTTCCTCGATGCCAACTTCTGGACCAGTGAGCGACGAAGAACTATGGGAAGATCGTGAACGTATGCGAGAGCTTTCAGAAGATGAGGAGGAAGTCATGAAAAATATTTTTATGGAAGAACAACGAAGGGAGATACTGAGCAAGGAAAAAATTATGAGTCTTCGATTAAAGGTCAGTTATGTGAGATAGAGGAATTAGGAGTGTTTTACGGCTTTTTAACGACAAAACTAATTATATTTTAAATAGGGTGCTTTTATTACATAGTAGTATAGGAGATATAAATAGTAGAAACGGCCATATAAATGAAAGTTGTAATAATAAAATTTAATGCATATATTTTTAATGTGCATTAAAAAAAATTCTAAAAATTGATGCATTCCCAACAACTGAAAACAAGTATCTTAAACTATAATTATTTGTATTTCAATTGCGCGAGTTGATAATTTTTATATCATAAACCATGAACGGATTTATTTACTGTTAAAATACTTAATTTTTATAAAAAAATAATAGAAACGAGCTAAATAAATTTTTACTCCTTAACCCTCCGTCGGGCGCAGTCCAAATATGATTATAAGAATATTGGCAGAAAGCTTAAAGTTTTATATATTTTTATTTAATTTGCGTTTTTACAATGCTGAATAGGTATATTATGTGTAAACAAAAACAAAATATATAATAGATCAATATTATTTTTATAATATAGCAAAATATAAAAATCCGTACGTGCGCTCAAAATGCTAGACGCACAAACCTTACTTTTTCTGAAATGAATAATTTAATTAACTATATGAAAACAATTGTCAGATTCTGTTGAAATGTTTATACAAAGACTATATAAACAATTAGGACAGTAAAAACTTGTTGTTTTTTGTCATTTTGTACGTCAAATAGAATTTGGCTTAGTGCGTTTTTTTTTAACAAAATTGCTACTAGTAAAATATGCGAAGTTCAAAGACAATCTAATATGGACGATTAAATAGACATAAAATAACAAGGCTACTGAGATATGGAGATCTCGACGACATCAAATTATGGAGAAACATGCTAAAATGTTGGCCCTGTATTTGTCAGATCGGCTGCGCCCGACGGAGGGTTAATTCATTATTTTAACATTTTTGCACTATTTTTTGTATTATTCATTCTTTTAGTATGTCTTCATGTGTTATTATAACGTACAATGCTGAGAAGATAAATGGTCGAAAATAAAAAAACATTTGTTTTTATTTGTTTTCCTTACTCGGAGCTCAATGTACTATGTAAATGCACATACACACATATATAGTATGGATGGTTGTCCGCTCAAAGGCAGGACCATTATTTTTATTAATTCCCTTGTTTATTATTCCCATCACCATTTCTTTGCCATTGTTCACTTTTTATGCACTTCTTGTTTCGGCTTTCATTTCCCATTTTCTCTAAAGTAAGTCGTCAATTATCTGCATTCTTCTTCTGCATTTTTTAGCAATATTTTACCTTCGATGACGTCGTGCAGTAGGCGCTGTTTTTGCAGACTGGGTCAGATCCAGTTTCTTTTTCATTTCATGATTATTAGAGTTCTCTCCTCTCGCTGTTTCTTCAGCACTTCATTTGTTATCTTGACTATCTACTTTGTCTCTCCTCACACACACATATATTTAAATATGCGTGTTGCGTATGTATATATATATATATATATATATTATAGTATATATATATATATATATATTATATTATATAGTATATATATATTACGTTTAGAATAAATTTTTATTAATAATTATAATTCCCAAATTAATCTGTAACTTTATTATTCTCAGCGTCAACTATCGAACGACTTCCAAGGCCCTCAGCACCCACAGACCATGAGTGTCCTCGATTTGAGTTCCACCTCGCAGTCTGTGGTTCAACAATCAGCCTCCACGGATGATTCAGCAACCCATTTGGTTTCCCCCGGCGGCTCATTCGACGCGCGCTCCTATGTGACACAGAAGGGAGAGCTAAAACTAAGTGGCGCCGATCGCATGCAATCGGGCTACTACGTTTGCACCGCGGTGAACGAGGCCGGAAGCACTAGCAAAAGAATTTACATAGAGGTTTGTGTTGATATTTTTTACTTTTAAATAAAGATTTATGAGGATTGCTGCAGATAAAACTTTGCTGAGTAATTTTGTTGTAGGTATGACGTGATACGAATCTCTTGAGAATGGTTAATATTTTTTAACCCTACTTGAAATATTTCCGAGAACAAAAAAATTAACTGCCTTATAATGTCAGTAAATCTAATTTTCTATGTCTCTTATAGGTGGCAACCCCTGATGAAGCTGTCTACTCATCCCGGCCACCAGAGCCTGACCAGCAGACAAGGCCACCAGTGCGTATACAACGTGTGCAGGCCGTAAGTCCGAATGCTGTACTGGTTGCCTGGTCAAAAGATGAATCTGATACCAGCAGTCACGACGGTATCGTTCTGAGATATCGTCCAGTGAAAGGATTGTCAGATGGCTTGAGCGTTGATAAGAATGTTCAAGGTTGGTATATTAAAATTATTAATACAGAAGTTCTTTGATATCAAAATATTAATTATTATTTTCCAATTATCTTTAGACGAGTTTCAATCTTTGGTTGTTAGCGACCAGACTTTGTCTCAAACTGTGATAGGCGGTCTGAGAGCGCACACAAACTATGAAATTTTTGCAACTAGACGAAATGCTCCTGCTTCTAATATAAGGATAGGAACAACTATGGAAGATGGTGAGTAAATTTATACTTACAACTTGTGAATAACTGTTAATAATTCAAGATCAAATCTAAATGCATTGATATTTTCATTTTGATATTGATATTAATATATAATAAAAACTATGTTGAATATTTTAGCTCCCTCAGGGCCTCCCGTAGATGTTAGAGTTGGTTTAATAAATTCAACTGCAGCTTATGTTCGTTGGCAACCACCTGCAACGCACGAATTAAACGGCGATCTAGTGGGATATAAGGTAATAATTATTTAGTTTCCTTCATCATAATGAAGCTTCCTCAAAATTCAGTTATTCATTTATATATTTCTTTTTTCAGATTCAAATTAAAAGCAACGCAACCAGCAAGATTTTAGGACAAATGACGCTCAATGCAACAACGTTGTCAGTAGTTATTAACAGTTTATCCGCAGGCGGAAAATACGTGGCCCGTGTTTCGGCCATAACAGGCGGTGGAAGCGGGCCTTTCAGTCAGCCTTTAACATTACACATGGATCCAGAACTTATTCAGAGACCACCCAAGTAAGTAACCAGTATATTTTGAAATAAATTTAAGTTTTCTGATGTATTCATAATTCTCTGGCATGTTTTTTGTTATTTTCCATGAATAAATTATATTCCTATGTTGATCGTTTTCTAGGACTGATCCAGCTGGTGAGTCATCGCGTTGGCCTCTGGCAGCACTTGCTGCTGCAGGAGCATGTTTAGCCGGAGGCGCAGCATGTGCTGCTCTTTTTGTACGATTGAGACGTCACAGAAAGAAGCCAGGAAATGGTGCTAAGCATACGGGAATCACTGGATATGGTGTGAATAGAACAGAATCTCTTTGGGTTAATGGTAAATTAAATTGTTTACTTTGCTAATAATATAGTATTAATTTAAAAAATTCCATCAGCTTGGTACGATTTTACGATTTGCATCAGCTTATACTGCATAAATATCTAATCGATAATCTGAATTGTCGAATGAAATCAATTATATAAGTTCATTCATTCAATTTTTCTATGAATAATAAGATATATTTTTATTAGGAACTTTAATATCGAAAACAATGATTCCTGGAGGACCAGTTTGCTCAGAATACGCTGAAGTAAACCTATC